TAGGTAAATAGATACTGTCTTTAAGGAATTTACATGGTGTGTTTGGCAAATCAAGAATATTAATCATTGATTTTAAAATATTATATATAATGCTCTTTGATATCATTGGATAGCATGCATATTCCATTGGATAGCATGTTCATTCATTTCTGCATATTTTGCATGTCTACTGTATACACCAAGCACTGGGCTAGGTGTTGGGAATAGAGAGGTAAATGATAACATTTTCATGCTGTTGGAGCTGGGCCACAATTTAGTGGGGGAGATGCAACCCACAAAAATGTGTAATGAAACATGAAAATTGTTCCTTGTAGAGAATTGCACAACATGCAGTATTAAGTCTGGGGAACTGTAAACTTACTTAATCTTTCCATTGAGTTAGACTACGGATGAATTTATCAGATGAGAAACACATGGATATTATTTATTTATGCTGAGGTAATAAGTGGAAAAGTTGATGAAATACAGTGCGTCTCTTATAACCAGTGGCCCCCAGCAAGACCATTCTCTGTGCTGCTCTTATTTCTGCACGTTCTTTGTGTTCGGGTCATTAACATTGCGTTTTAGGTCAGATGAGAATGTGTTCCATCTGCCAAGCATTGATAACTAAAGTAAAATGCTGATGGAGATCATTTAAGATTGTCTCTATGCTGTTGATTGCATGCTTGTGGCTCATAATCAGAATGATGCAAAGTAATTGTTAGACTGACTTGCCAAGGCTACATTTTGTGTTGCTGCAACTGTCAGCACTTTGGTCCTGCTCTTCTGCCTGAAGAATGCCTGTCTAGACAGCTAAAGCACAACTTACTACCAAATTTCATGGATAACTTTTTTTCTAGGATCCTTTCTTGCTATGCGAAAAATAACCTGAAAAAGTAATATCTGATTATTGAGAAAAAGCAAGTGTTTATTTTTGGTATTTGACAGAATCCTGTAGATTGTGGCCTTCATATAAAAATCACATGTGACCATGATGCTTCTTTCTTTTCTTTTTGGCCATGAAACCCCGATAAACCTGGCTTTGAATTCTTGCTTTATCTTGTTGGGTATGTGACTTTGGTTATGTTACTTGTCTTGAGCCTTGTTTTCGTCATCTGTACAATGGGGCTAATGCAACCTATTTTACAGAGATTTTGTGAGGATTATAGATAATAGATAAAAACTTGGCACAAAATAACCACTCAGTAAATGGTAGTCGTTAATATTAAGGAATTCTGTGCTTACTCAGGATGACACTATACAGTGGCAAGACAAAATTTTCCAAAGTCTGTAATTCAAAACTATACTGTAAGTGTGGAATATATGGCATCAGCACAGTTTTCCTGGCCAGGTCATATTTACCAGAGATGCACAATTGATGAGGATGTTAGGATCAAAACCCCAGTTTCGATAGCTAGGTCTGCTATGCAGAATGTGTTCTGGGCCATCCCATGTATACCATCAAAGGGTATGAAGGTTCCTCTGAAAGCAAATTGAAGAACGAGCATCGTTTTGTTTTGACTGTATAACAGAGCTGTTATATAGCACATAGCACAGCGGAGAAAGCAGTCAACCCAAGAGAGAGTTAGGCAAAGCAAAAACTCTGTCCCTATTAGAAATGCATTGTGAGATCGAGGGACATTTTACTGACTCCTGAATTGTACAATCAAAAAGATCCATTAAGAGTAGCTCAGTCCATATGCCATGTGAAGTGAAGGCCCTAGTATGGATTGTCCAAGAAATGCTTTCTGCGATTCCATCTAATGCTAAAATTTAAGGTCTGTGTTCTTATCTACCAATATTGATTCTATTTCACGTGGTCAAGTAGAACAGAAGTCTAAGAGTATGAACCTCACCGAAAATTATCACCTCCCCTAAAAACTGCATAAACCGGACAGGGGATGAGCTTTTAGGGAACTTTTGTTGGGAGGTAGCATGCAAATAGGTATCTTACTTCTTCATTCATTGTAGATTTTGGTTTCAGAAATCAAACTCTTTATTTCTCTACTTTGTTTCTGTTTTTTGTTTTGTTTTGTTTAGAATACTTTATTGATTTTTAGAGACAGAGGAAGGGAGAGGGAGAGAGAGAATCATTGATGTGACAGCATAACATGGAGTGCACTGGATGGATGATGTCCAACCAGCTGAGCCACACTGGCCAGGGCTGTTCCTCCACTTTTGCCCTCTCCAGGATTTTCCGGCTGGTGTCTGGTTTGGCATTTCTCTACTGCCACAGTATGTCCGGGCTGTCTTTCTCTCCTGCATCCTGCCCACCCCCCACCTCCTGCCTGCCTGCCTGCTTGAAGGAGCAGTGTTGGCAGTACTTACAAAGGGTTAGTTACAGTCATAACTGGAGGAGGAATTAGCTCACACTCTTCGCTGATTGTGAGGATACATTCACTCCTCCAGCCTCCCGGTCACATTTGTAGATAGAGCACAGTTTTCTCAATCGAGGACAAGATGTGTCATGCAGTTTAAGCAAACTGTATCACATATGTTCACCACACCAGCCATTCTCTGTGAAGGAAATGGATGAGAAATACTGAAATTACAGAAACATTTCAAATCCTAGTCTTCTAAATATGGTAAATTCTCATTTTTTGGGTTTTGTTTTTTTGTTTTTTTTTGTTTTGAAGTTCATATAATGTGATTATGATTTTTAGGATCACTCGAGAATTTATAGTTTTCAGTAACTTTCTCTGTGTCATGATCACACTGAAACAGGGACACTTATTTCACTTCATTCTTGGGATTTCCTACTTGAAATAGACATCTCTATTCATTGTTAGCCCTCCTCGTTAGGTTTGTCCCCTTGCAACACATTGGAAAGTCACTGAATATTGTTATTTGTGATGTTATTCCCTGTGCTAGTTAATATTCTTCTAAGCTACTCCCATTTATAAACCAAAACAATCTTTGTTGTTAACTCTTACATTTATACAATCTGCCTTTCATGATCTTGATGAAAATATGGGAAAAAAAGAACCACACCCTACTTCATGTATAGTAGTTTCTCATAAATGTGGGACACTGGTAGTTTCTGTAAATTCAACAAATACACATTTAGAGGTTACTTCTTTTAGTGTAATACTCTTGTAAGTCCTTAAAAAGTTATGATGGAGATGGGTGTATTAAAATTAAGAGATTTATACTATATCTGGTAAAATGTTTATACTATACCAAATAAAATGTTTTCACATTGTAAAACAATATGAATATTATCATAGTATATTATGAATGAATTGTACATATGTATAAAATTTTACTTATTTAAGTATATATCTAATATACTGTGTGTGCTTGAGCATAGGAGAGAGCCTGGAACCATATAAACCAAAATGGCCATAGTAATCATTAGTGAGGCTTTTGCTGATTTCTATTATTTGGGTGTTTCTCCCCTTATCTGTATGATCTAATTGTTCACAGTGAACAGTTTTACTTTGTTCTCACTTGTCTTAACTAATGGGGGGCGGGTGAGAGAATACAAGGACCGACATTTTGGTACATTATGAGTTATAAAAATCTCTCCTGTGTCTTCCTTCTCTAGTATTTCAGATATGTAGACGTGCTGTGCCACCTGGCATTAAAAGCTTTTTCTTTTTAAGTCTCTTCTACATGCCAAGCACTGCACTAGAAACTTGAAACATTATATGAAGTGGATATTAGTATTACCATTATGCAAATGAGGGAAGGGGGCCGAGCATTTACGGAACTAGAATCACACAGCTGTTATGTGACTGAGCTGCGATTCGGAGTCAGGTCTGACTCTGAAATCAGTCTTGTGGTCTTTATGATTCTTACTGTAGACATCTCGTCTGCCGTTAGAATGAAAAGGTTACTGTGTGTGAGTGAATTATAAACTGTGGCTTTAAAAAGAAGGTGCTCAGAGATTTTACCAGCATGTACCAGCTTTCTCTGCTCCTCTTGCTTCCATATTGTGTTTTCAATTAGAGTATAAACTTCTCACGAGGCTGAATCTCATCATCTCAGTAGCTCCACCTCTCCTAGCGCAGTCTGACATTATGGCCTGCGACTTCTCTCTGGGATTGTGAGGAATGCCTTTCAGATTCTGAGGAACTGAGTCAGGATCTGCTGCCAGTGAGCGTGCTGAGGAGGAGGAGGAGACTCTCCATCCCGCCCTAGTGACCAGGCCTCTCTCTTCCTTTTAGGGAAAGGGCGGAAAAGCAGTGGCCTTCATATAGCTCTCAATCCCAAGTGCTCTGGGATCCTGTAAAAACCAGCCAGTCTCAGGAACCAGACTAGCTTTGCCTCACGTCCCCTCCTAAACCTGCAAAGGCATCTTTAAAACAGTCTCTGGAAATGTTTTAAAACTTGGATCTTGAGTTTAGTCCCTTATGTGATGTAGATTACACAGTCTGCTGCTGTCACTCCCTTATCTCCCTTTGTCTTTCAGGCTTCCTCTTCCAACATGCACTTCATCTCGGCTCTTTCCCACACTTTATCTCAGACACCGTGGCTTCCTCTCGGGATTACACAGTTGGCCTGATATGTAGCCCCCAGCGCCCTCTGCCAAGTCCACATTCCCATCTGAGCCCAATTATGGGTCCCTGTAGAGTCACTGACTTCAGTGGGGGGATGTGTGGAGTTGCGGGTCTGCCATTTGGGAAAGGGCAAAGTGCAGGCATGGGGTACTCTGCTTACTTATCGAGAGGTCGCCAATCAACTGCGTGGTGGGGGCGCAGACATGACATTTAAAAATATCCACCCAAAACTTCATTTTTCAGGCACCACAGTATATGATCCTTCATCGTGAGGTTCATCTTTCTCATGGTCACAGAATCACACACATGATTGCTTTCTGCATATTAATTGTTCAAAGCTCTTTTTAAAAAATTCAAGTAGTCAGCCACACCATTATGCATCCACTGTTCTTCAGATTTACTGCGCACCTACTGAGTGCCCACATGCCAGAGCTGGGATTTCTCACACTCTCTATGCCTGCACACCTGTGCTGAGTTACAGAATGGACTTAATGTTGTTTAAATCTTTTTCTCTTCCAGTTTTCCAAAGAAATTAGTTTGTTTTCTGGGGCAGAGGATCCAATCTGCTGTTTTCTTACGGTGAGTGAGTCTATGACTCTTTTATATATGTACACCCACATCAGACTGTTACCCAGAGCTCTAAGAAAAAGTGCCTGCACGCATTCTCTAGAAGTTTCCCCCACTTGGAATCAAATGTTCTTTCTACTCATCCCATGTCCTCCTCCCTCCAGAGGGAGGTTTCCCTCTTGTATTTTTCTGCCTTTTTTTTCGCTGTCCACATGGGTTGCCTTTTAGGAGTTGCTACCATGTTGTTCTAGCCTCGTTCAGCTGCAGAGCAGACAGCAGAGGAAGTTTCCTTGTTTCAGTGACTGATCACAGAAATGGGCCGTGGGCAAGGAGAAACTATCTCTTTTGTTCACATGATGCCCTGTTTCATGAACGCCCTGAAAGAGAGAGCACTGGATGGGACCTTAGAGCTCATGTGCGTACAGACGGCTGCTGAGGCATTTGACTCCCCTCTGTGAGGTCTCCCTATCCCTCCAGTACCCTGCCTCCCTCCCCCCCCCCCCCCCCCCGCCTCCACAGAACTGTTTTTAAAATCCCAATTCCTCTGTGGACACAGATTATAGCTTGTTGGACCTGAAGTAATGCCGATAGACTAGTGATAACATCCCTCTAAGGCAGCGGTTCTCAACCTGTGGGTCGCAACCCCTTTGGGGTTCGAACGACCCTTTCACAGGGGTCGCCTGAGACCATCGGAAAACACATATATAATTACATATTGTTTTTGTGATTAATCACTATGCTTTAATTATGTTCAATTTGTAACAATGGAAATACATCCTGCATATCAGATATTTACATTACGATTCCTAACAGTAGCAAAATTACAGTTACGAAGTAGCAACGAAAATAATTTTATGGTTGGGGGTCACCACAACATGAGGAACTGTATTAAAGTAAAGGGTCGCGGCATTAGGAAGGTTGAGAACCACTGCTCTAAGGCACGTGTCAGGAGTGATGCTGTTTAGCTGTTTAACTTCCAAGAAGTCACTCTTGGCTGCTACCAAGAGAGGTGGGTGGACAGGGCAAACCCGGGGCACTTCTGTGATGGACCTCAGCCGAGAGGGCATGTTTTCCTTTGCGCCTTTCCCAAAGTGCATTTGCAATAGCACTTCCGGTGCGGACTCGGGCTAAATCTGTGCTGCAGCCGGGAGCCGCGGTGCAGGTGTGTGCTGGCCAGCTGCAGACCGGCACGCCCCCGTCCGGGCATCTGCACCTGCAGAGTAATGCTTAGCAGGTTTCGCATAGCACAATGCAAACTTGGCCTGCGGTCTGAGAGACTTTCAGAGTCACCTTTCTTCATTAAAAAATAATAAATAAAAGCTATATGGTTTCTAACATGAGAATTCAGTTGTGGGGCATGATGGAGAGAAGGGTGAGAAAACAGTTCTTCGCTGGAGACCCACAAGGGGGACTTGCCTGTGGTATTTTCGTGGATGCCTATGCCGCATCTGGCTCTAGTCTGTGGTCACTTAAGTTAGAGAGCTAGAGCACGTATTTCCCAAACATTTCATCTCACCTAGGGATTGGTTTAAGTGTAGCACAGAGAGCTTGTGTCCATTATTTTATCCCACTTGTCAACTTAATCATTTTACCTTAATAAATGGGGACTTCTCTTCTGCCCTAACCACAGTCATTTTTAAGGAACTTGAAGTGTCTTCTTATCAGAGTACAGAGAGAGTCTGCTTCCTGTCAATGTCCTGGTGGGAGTGAGAATGGGGATTGCAGATTCACTGCGGGAGCCTCTGCCTATGCCTCTCCTATTGACCTTTCCTGTCCCAGATGCTTGATACGCATGAATGTGCATTCATTAGAAGTGTGAACTTAGGGCTCCCATTTCCTCATCGCACCCAAGAAAAGCCCAGACGGTGTATCCCTAGAGCACAGCACAGTGGGACGGGGATGTGGACATCTGCTGCTCTTTGGGGAAGCTAAGGGTCTCTGTGGCATCCAGAGGCTGATAAGACTAAAATAGAGGACAATTAAGGACCTTAGGAAAGTGGAGTCCATGCCTCCTGGTCCCAAGCGTTCTGTGAGGAATAAACTGGGAGCGGAGGGTCTCAGGTAAGCAGTGGAAAAGGGATAGAATTAGACCACTTGTGGCTGTTTTGCTTTCCTGGTGGGGACATCGTTTTTTTAAGTTAACAGTCAGGAGGCATCAGATTATTACCCAAGTTCTTTGCTTCTACCGGTTGTGTGTGCGTATGGGGTGAGGGGGTGGGGGGGGGGAGACTAAATATAAACCAAGGTCATGAGTTTCTTAGTTTAAAAGCAGCCCCGAGGCTGGCCCCCACACCTTGGGTTTGGACCGTGCACATCCACATGCCACATGCATGTAGACCTTGTAAAACAGGAGTTGCTGGGCTCCCTTTCATGGTATGCAGCAGGGCAGGACCTAGAACAATACCACTATTGTTCCCAGGCGTGGACTGCACTCACTGTCAATGGTATCCCTTTAAGGGAAATCTAGGGAAATGCTCTTGCCAGTGCTGAGGTTTTGTTTGCTGGAGGCCAAGTAGCAGTGACATGTATTGGTTCCATAGCAACATGTCTGTGCAGCCAGAAACAATACAATGACAGGGGCAGCCAATGTACCCTGGGCAGGACGAGCACAGCCCGGACGCCCCCTTTGACTTCCCCCAGTCCTGGCCTGCCTTTCCCTCCTGCAGAGCAAGTAGACTTGGTAATTGTTACTGTCTGTCCCTGCTATTAACCCTTGCCCCCTTTCCCCACCTGAGTCAGGACTTGAGTCAGGACTTAATACGGGAGAAGGCAATGTCCGTAGTAAAATTCTGCAGGCCCCTGAGGGGCCAGCGGAGCTGGCAGAACCTCCCTGCCTTAGCGAAAGAAAGTAGGTGGAGAGTCTGCTTTGCATCATCCCTGTGGCAGAGCAGCTCTGTGCGCAGGGCACAGGGGGTTCAGCATTTCCTGCCCAGTGCGGTCGCTGCTCCTGGCTGAATGTGGGCAGTGATCCGGAGCAGAGTGAAATCCAGGGAAGCAGAGTACCCATTAAACATGCTACCCAGATGCAGGGCCGCTGACCTGGGCCCAGGGCAGTGCCGGGCACCGCAGGGCTGCACAGAGAAATACAGCACACACTGTATTGTTTTGATACCTTCTGGATCTTTGGCCTGAGGTGCACTTTCTAATTGCAGTTGCTACAGTGTGTGTAGTTGGGGTTTGAACATTTTCCTCACATGAAACTATTGTAATCACTCTTGATTTCAATAGATGCCTTTCCCTCCTGAACTCCTGAAGGATTTTTAAAATCTTTGCCATCTATTTGACACTTATTTTAGATTTCCTTTTTTGATACATAATGCTTTGGGAGCCTGGGCAATCTTTCTAGGTAGAGGGTAAGGCCTTCAAGGTCAGGAACTATCTATCTTATTCTTCATCTTAAAATAAATTCTCTACTGCTCAGAACTGAGCCCCATAGATCAGGGGCGGGGGACTTTTTTTTCTGCCAAGGGCCATTTGAATATTTATAACATAATTCGCCGGCCATATAAAATTATCAACTTAAAAAGCAGTCCAGCCTGCTAATTTTGCTCAAACCTTTAATTAACTCACCTCTAATGCCTTGGCAGGACTGGGCCAAATGATTTCTGAGGCCATATGTGGCACGCGGGCCGGACATTCCCCACCCCTGCTGTAGATAATAACCATGCCATCCATATGTCTTCATGACAATGATATAGTCCCATCTTGTCTCACAAGGAGGTTGTGAAGAAAGTATGTAAATACATTGAAAATGCTTTTACATTCTTCAGAGAAAAGATAAGAACATTCTTTTTTCTAGTGTGGTTTTAAAATCATGTAGATATGAAATCACAAAGTAAGAATATCTAAAGACTTCACATTTCCTCATCTTCATCTTTGTGGCTACCAGCCATGAACTGTGTAGCCTAGAGCTTTACACTGGCACTGAAATCATTGTTTTTCCCACCCCACCTCCATATTCACTACTCTATCGAAGGTGCTGTATTATACTATTTGGGCCAGACTTTTCAGTCACACACCTTGCAGTATATTGGAGCTATGAAGTAGGAGATTTGAAGGATTTTTTTTATTAAGGTGACAGGTTTGATAGATTAGGATAGTGCTTCCTAATTTAGTTTTGAGGTGTCTGTTGGGAAAGGGAAGGCTTTTATTGTATAACAACTTTTATCTTAAGAGGTTTCCTCCCTTCCCAACTTCTAAGCCAACTGAGAAGTAAGACAAGTGTAATAAGGAAGGTGGAAGCCAAGATGCAGCTTTTTGACTGATTAACAGTTAACTGAATTAGAAATTATATCTGGGGTTGAGAACCAAAAGTGGGCTTCCACCGCTCTATTCCCCAGTCTGGGCCTGGGAACAGCCCACATGCAGGAAAGTTCAAGTCCTCATGTGAGTCACTCTCTGTGTGAAGAGGAAGGAGAAGGACGCCAAAATCTACCCCCTCCACCACCCCTGAACTCAACATTCTTACTGTACCTAGTGGCAGGGTAACTGTGTCTAGCGAAGTTAACACTACCAAAGGACAGGCATGGACCACACGCTGGCTTTAACCCCCAGCCAGGTAGCGCACACTACATCCTTGGGGAAAAAAAGAGGATGGAATAAGAGGCTAGGAGAGTTTAGGGAAAGTCCTCTGCATGGAAATTGGGGGTAGCTCTGCTCACATCTTTCACTCTCTACACTCTAGTCGGGCATACTACCCCACCAGTCTCACTCTAGCCATCTTACCCACTGCGTTTTCTTCATAGCCCTTTGCTTTATATATTTGTTTACTGGCTTATTGTTAGTCTCCTCTATTAAAATTTTAACTCAGTGAAAGCAAAAGCCTTGTCAATATCATTTACTGCTGTATCCTGGTACTTAAAACTATGCCAAGCATAGGAGGCATTTGATAAACATTTGTTGAATGAATAAATGAATAGTATTGTCTTATGCCTCTTTTCACACTCCTTGATTGCCTGGTCATCCTGGCACTGTCTTGGCCGGCAAGTGCCTATTCATATTGTAAGACTCAG